CCAATTCTCTTTATCTTATACATCATGATTTTTTTATACAACTTTAAAAGTTCTCTAGTTTGTCAAATGGCTTTCTAAAAAAAAAAAAATCAATGCTCAAACTGAACTGTTAGCAGAATATATCAAACAACTTCTCTCTTTTTTTGGACATCATGCTCTGTGCCTAAAATTATTCTCCATTTTTTAGCAAGTAAATTGCACTGTTGATTATAAATGAATTCACAGCCAACAATTCTTTAGTCTTTTCCATATGGATACCTGAGAAGGAACTGTCAGAATGGGAGAAGAACAACTGCTAATATCACCCTGCTATTCTATATCCTCAACAATATACCAGACAACTGCAACTGTGACTACCTAGACTACTGTCTGAATGTTTGTGTTCCCCTCAAATTCATATACTGAAATCCTAATCCACTAAATGATGGAATTAGTAGGTGGGTCCTTTGGGAGATGATTAAGTTATGAAGTCAGAGTACTCCTAAACAGAGTTAAAACTTAAAAAAAAAAAAAAAAAAAAAGACCCTAGAGAGATATCTGGCTATTTCTTTTAACCCAGTCTACTGTTTTTTTTTTTTTTTTGTGAAAATACCATACAGAGGGGTTACAATTACATGGGCAAGGTAATGAGTACATTTCTTGTCAAGCATTGTTGCCTCCTCCTTTGTTTCCCCTTCATCGCTTCCCATCTCCCTACCCTCCCCCCAAAGTTGTAAAGTCATTTTTTGACATAACAACTTGTACATCTCATTGTTGCAATGGGTCCACCTGTATCCCTATTTAAATACTTTGCTTTTTTCCCTTCCCCTCCACAAAGTATGCCAACATCAAATGCAGTGAAAACAGGGGTTATACCATGGAGGAAGGACATACAAAGCAACAAAGAAATCATCTTATAAATATGTTAGAAACAATCGCAAGAAAGAAAAACCATTTGAGTCTTATCTTGGAGTTCATTTCACCTAACATCAACTTATCTGACCGTTTCTGCTTGTCTCAGACATATACTAGTTATTGCAAATAAGGGAAACCATGGGACCTATGTTTCTTTGGGCCTGGCTTACTTCACTTAATATAATTTTTTCCACGTCTTTCTATTTCCTAACAAATGGGGCAATGTCATTCTTTCTGATGGAGGCATAGAATTCCATTGTGTATATATACCACATTTTCTTGATCCATTCATTTACTGAGGGGATCTGGGTTGGTTCCATATCTTAGCTATGGTAAATAATGCTGTAATAAACATAGATGTGCTGGTAGCTTTAGTATTGTCTTTTTTGTGATCATTTGGGTAAATGCCCCAAAGTGGGATTGTTGGGTCAGAGGGGAGCTCTATGTAGAGTCTTTTGAGGAACCTCCACACTACTTTCCAAAGTGGTTGAACAAGTTTACACTCACACCAACAATGCAGTAGGGTTCCCTTCTGGCCACATCCCCTCCAGCATCTGTTGTTATTAGAGTTCTTGATTATAGCCATTCTAACTGGGGTGAGGTAGGATCTCAATGTTGTTTTGATTTGCATTTCTTTTATGGCTAGGGAGGTTAAGCATTTCTTCATGCGTCTATTGGCCATCCTTCTTTCCTCTTCAGAGACATTTCTCTGTAAATCTTTAGCCCATTAATTTATTGGGCAGTTGTTTCTTTGAGGATTTGTTGTTGGGGGATTTAATTTTTTGAGTTCCAGGTATATTTTAGATATGAGACCCTTGTCCATTATATGGCTAGTGAAGATCTTCTCCCAATCCACGGGCTTTCTATTGATCTTGCTAGCTATGTCCTTTGCCATGCAGAAGCTCTGCACCTTCATGCAATCCCATTTGTCCAACCTTTCTTTGATTTGTTGTGTTTCTGGGTCTCTTTTAAGAAAATTTCAGCCTGTGCTAAGGAGACCTAGGGTTTCTCCTATTCCATCCTGTAATGTTTTCAAAGTCTGCTTTGACTACGAGGTTTTTGATCTATTTGGAGTTGATTCTGGTGCCAGGTGATATATAAGGATCTAGCTTTATTTTTCTACAAGTGATTAACCAATTTTGCCAGCACCATTTACTAAAGAGGCTGTCTTTCTTCCATTCTATTTTTTTAGCTCACTTATCAAAGATTAAGATGGCTATAGGTCTGTGGGTTCATTTCTGGTTTTCAATACTATTCCATTGGTCCTGAGGTCTGTTCTTGTGCCAGTACCAAGCTGTTTTGAGTACTATGGCTTTGTAGTAGAGTTTGAAATTTGGTCTTAATATTCCTCCAGCACTATTCTTTCTGTTAAGGATCGTTTTTGCTATTCGGGGTCTTTTATTGTTCCATACGAATTTTTGGATTGTCTGGCAATTTCTGATATGAGTGGCGGGAAGAAAATGGCATTTGCTGATAGTAGACCCAGTGGACTAAGCTTTCCAGATACGACCAAACAATCCAATTCATCAAATAATTCCTTTCAACAAAGGGAATAACTAACAGAAAATATACAAAGTAGTTCCCAATCAATATCCAACTAATAAATCTAGAGTCTTGATAATCTAATCTCTTGTGGTTAAATATACAATCTATTGCCATGATTCTCAACCTTATGATCTCTTCCTCTCTCCTCACATAATCACACTGGCAAATGGTAGTGAGATGGACAGTAGGCCCCTCTGTAAAAGACAGCCTTTCTTCATCTAGTCATAAGCCTCCACCTAGAAAGCTACTAGGACATAAACACACATGCCCATCACCACCTGCCGGACACCCAAGCGTCAGACCTGAGTTTCTCAATAGTTCTTCCGTGACTGGAGTCACCTATTACACAAGGCCAACTCATTAATTACTTCCTCACATCTAGACATCATCAGTCTCTTTTCTGACCTTTCACCCTGAATATTCCCAATGCTTTTAGGTCTAAGAATGATTTTTTTTAAAGCAGGTACATGAAATAAATAAAACAACCCTATGTAGCACGGGCGCTAGAATGCTCCGATGCTCACAATAGGCAAAAGCTCGAGCATTTAAAGATACGTTAAATCCGTAGGGCTACATAAAGGGCTTGAACACACACTACACACACACACACACACACACACACACACACACACGTGCAAGGCAGCCTCCCCGCAATTGTCGCTTTGGGGACAGGGGGTTCCCAAGTTAGGATGGGATGCCAGGGACAAGAGAAGAGCGCCGCTCCCCGTGGACAGCTCCGGGCAGCGCCCCATTCCTCCTTCACCCCCCTCCCCCGTCCCCCACCCCGTCCCCGACCCCTCACCTCTCTTGTCCAGGAGCCACATGAAGGCGAAGCAGGGCAGGAAGCCGATGGGCCCCCACAGCACGAGCAGCGCGATGTCCCAGCTGGAGAAGCCATAGGCCTGGCGCGCCGAGTTCTGGATGGGGCCCCAGCTGTTCCAGACCAGGCCCTGCGCGAACGCCAGCAGCGAGAAGAGCAGAAGCACCAGCCAGCGCCGCCCGTACACCCGCCCGGGGCCCGGCCCCGCCGCGGGCAACGCCGCCGCCGCCGCCGCCGCCTCCCGGCCCCGCCGCGCGCCTCCCGGCGCAGGCCCCGGCCCGGGTCCCAGCAGCGGCTGCCGCTCCTCCTGGCTGCTCCAGCCCGAGCCCATGGCGACGCCGCCCGCCGGTACTGCCCTGCGCTCGCCGGTGGCTGCCGACCAGCCCGCCGCAGACGCGGCCGGAGGAGCCGGAGCCCGAGCCGCCCAGAGAGCTCTCCGCCTCTGGACCGCGCCTAGTGCGCCTGCGCCACCGAGCCGGCCTTCGAGAGGGAGTTGTGGGGCGGGGCGGGGCAGGGCGGGGCGGGGCGAGCGGGGCGGGGGTCGGAGCGGAGGAGTCTGGGGTCCGCCCTGCTCTGGGCGGGGTGGAGACAAGACCGCCGCCCGCGGGCTAGACCCGAGGTGTCCCAGTGGGGATCCGAAAGAAAGGAAGTAGCTGTGGAGTGGATGGCTGGGTCGGAGAGGGAGGCTCCCCTGGAGCCTGAAACCCGGGGCGTTGTGCAAGCCACCTGGGAGTGCTGGCGGAAGTGCCTGAGTTTACATCTCGTGCCCCACACGCAGCCCGCTGACCTCAGGTCACAGAACTCAAGGCTTGCTTCGGTGTGTGGCTTACTTTTATTTTTATTGGGGCTATAACTTCAAAGGTTACAGGAGCTCTAAGACGGAAATATAGGAGGGGTACGGGGGATTGCGTCGTGAAAACCATTTCAGGTCTGTGCACCGTGAGGTATTAGTTTTGTCAATTTATCTTTTTGTGTTTTCCATATCCAGTGATATGGCAATAAACTAGCCAATGTAGTTCACACAGACCTATGATATATAATACTATCTACATATCATGTATACGATACCATCTTTCTGCTCACTTTGTCTATCACTTAACCCGCAATCTATCGGACAATCTTAAGGTCAGAAGATGGAAGTGACCTCGGTCCGTTTCTGGTCGTGATTTCTGACCAGACACCCAGCCTAAACGACGGAGGCTGGTCGTCTTTTGTCCAGATCGTGTTTCGACGTAGGAATCCTGAAACCCGACAGCTGTCAGTGTCCTTGAAAAACCCAAGCCAAACAAGTTGGCTTGTTTGGAATGAGGAGTGAGTCACAGGAACGCCACCAAAGGACACTCGGATTTGTCTTCTCGGGTATCCCCAAAAGCCAGACGCTGGCTACCCGAGGCGCCCGAGCTGCCCCGGTATCCTAGGCTGATGAGAGGCCACAGACCCGGGAGCACCGCAGACCCAGGGCGTGGCCCGGATCCCCACAGAACAACAAACGCCAGTTCTAGCGGGTGGGAGGAAGGGCCAGAGGATGAAGCAAAATAGAAGTGAATCTAAGAAAAGACTGCAAGAAGGAGGATAAGGTCAGCGCCAGCCACAGCAGCGAAAACCAGACCACGTGCTTGGTGCCTTTCAACAACCCCAGACCAAAACAAACGTGCGTGGCCCCGCCCAGCAGCGTCACTGTGGGCGCTCGAGGGCGGTGTTTCCGGCGCAGGGGCGGGACGGGACTAGGAGGGAAAAAAGGACCGCGGATCTACTTCCGGTCGGCCGCTTCCAATTTACCTTCAGCTCCAACCGTCTGGCTGTAGCCATGGCAGCGTGCTCCGAGGCTTGCACTCACCCAGTCCTAGTAGCTGGAGCTTCAGGGGAGAGAGGTAAGGTGTCTTGCCGCCGTCAGAACCTAGATACGAACCCAGTGCATGCCTGTCCCTCTGGTGTGGCCAATGTAATAACCCGCGGGACCCCGACAATCAGCGGGGCCCAATAGTCAGTGTGGCCCCGTGGCCCGGCCTGCTGTAGGGGGTGGGGTTCCACAGAGCAGGCCTCGGGATAGAGCCTGGCTTGGAGAGGCTGACGTCACAGCCCCACGGGGCGCCGCCGGAGGGGCGGGGGGGGGGGGGCGGGGCAGGCCGCGGAGTTGTGGGGCTTCCCGCTGAAAGGGGCGTGGCCTGCTACTGGAGGGGTGGGGCGTCGAGCCCCACGTGGTGAGCTGCGGATTGGGATTGGAGAGGGGGCGGCTTGGGGGAGGAGCATGAATGGTGGTGGGGTTAGTGGGAGAGGGAGGCAGCCTATCTGGGTATATATAGACTGTGTGCTCCGGGGCGGGAGGGGGGGGAGAGGAGGGAGGGAGGGGCGGGTAGGAGAAAAACCGGGGTCCTGAGGGTAGGGTAGTCCAGAGGAGACAGGAGTCCTGAGGAGAGTAAGGGACTAACCGTTAGTGCAGAGTTAGTTACTGCGGAGAGGACAGCAGTATGAGTGGAGGGAGAGACGGCAGGAGGGGAAAGCTTGCTGGAGCAGGGCAGGCCTCGAGGGGCCATATGGGACCTCCTTCGGAGGTCATTGGGGCCTCCCCGAGAGGCCGTTTGGGGCTTCTCAAGGAAGCAGTTTGGGGCCTTCCTCTAGAGAGGCCTGTGGAGAGGCGCCTCCCGGAGCAGAGCAGAGCAGAGCAGGCCTGTGGAGAGTGGAGAGGCCTGCAGTGAAGGAGAAAGGGAAAAGCCTTCCTCCTTGGAGCTTTGGAGGTTTGCAGACTGACCAATAAAGGTTGGGGGGTCAGGACTGCCTCGTGGAGGTTTGGAGGCTTGGTGGTCGAAGCTGCTCTTGGTTCTGGGTATCTAGCCCAGGACAAGATAGTCTCAAGACCCCTTTCTGGTGTAAATAGTGTAAGTAAACTTCTGTTGTCCACTTTTCACTGCCTCGATGGATTGTCTCAGTCTTATTGTCACAGGGTCTTCTCATCATAGGGTTCTCTGACCTTGCATTAGGCCAGGAATAAAGTGACTTTCTAATGAATGAGGTTTCCTCCTCTTCTCCCCTCAGATTATGCCATGTAGGTTTTTGATCTTCCCTACAAAGTCCCGTATTCCCACATTTAGTGATAGGCTGTTGCACGTACAGGATGTTTTGAATGTGAGAGGATTCGATACAAAACATTGGAGCCCATCCTTAAGATAAATGGAAATCTAAGACTTTGGTGAGCAGGGATTTGTTTACTTTGGAAACCTAATGTAGCTTGAGTTGGGGGCCCATAAGCAGAGATTGCTGTTGCTTGGTCTCGGTGCCATGCATCTGATGCAGTTCTGAATCCTGCCACAGAGATCCGGAAACTTTGTGGAGTGTTTTGTTGTATTAGGCTACATTAATTAGACAAGGTGGGTGAGTGATTTTCTTGTTACATTTGCACACAGGTTTACAATGTGTTCCAATCAATCTCACCAGGAGCAGTCTAAAGATGGGTCACCTTGGGGAAAACAAATTCTTCCAAAAAAGCAATCGTTTGAGATGGGTGGGATGAGATAGTAACAAGTGACAAAAGTCTAATAGTGGTGCTCCGGGCTCTGGGAGACAGAGATCAGAAAAGCACCATATGGGTGTATTTGGAGATCAAGTAGTTTGCCTGGAAGGGGGCTGCCCCTTCCCAGTGACAGAAACACATGATAAACTCCTACTGTCTGGCTACTTTCTTTCTTTCTTTCTTTCTTTCTTTGCACCTACAACTGTCCTGCTGATCTTTGCTGGAAAAAGTCCTGACTAACCCTGGAGTATTCACTCAGTAAGAGCCTGACTTCCTTCTGTCAGCATCCTAACTTTTTAAATTGCCAATCCTCCCAACTTTTGTCTCCTTTCTTCCCTTTTCATAAAGCTGATGCCTTTCAAAGTAAGCCAACTTTGCATCCTGGTTTCAAGTCTCTCAGAAAAATAGGGCAAGGCATCACAAGTTGTGAAGAGGATGTGGACTTGAGAATAAAGAGAATTTGGAATAGTTACTGTAGGGTTAGGATAATTAGGATTCAGTGATGATGTGATTTGAGTGCAGGAAATGGAACTATGGAGGTGAGCATGAAACTCTGCAGCTGATCCCTTTCTTTAAAACTGTTTCTGAATATGCTTAATAACTCAATATGCAAGAGTAGAGAAAAACATTGATCCATCAGTGGACATTTTGGGTTGCTTCCATTGCTGAGCTCTTGACACACAGATGTACCTCTTTGAGCACCCACTGTTGATTTTTTTAATGGAAAGTAAGATGAAATAACCACTTTGTTTTGAATCATAGAAAATACAGGATGCTAAAATTAGAAGAGATTAGGTAGAGGGGCTGGGAAGATGGCTCAGTGTTAAAGCGCTTGCCTTGCATACCTGAGGTCCTGGGTTAGATTCCTCAGCACCACATAAGCAGAAAAAGCCGGAAGTGGCGCTCTGGCTCAAGTAGAAGAGAGCTAGCCTTCAGCTGAAGAGCTGAGGGACAGCGCCCAGGCCCAGAGTTCAGGCCCCATGACTGGCAAAAAAAAAAAAAAAAAAAAAAGAGATTAGGTAGAAATTTTGAATACACTTTAGGGTATTGGAAAGAACATTAGATAGACACCATTTTTTTTTCAAGTGTTACCTTCATTAAAAAACAACTGATTTCCTTAGTACCACCAAAAATACAGATTTACCTGTCTTTGTTTTACGTTTAAGACTAGTATTATTTTGAGTGTATAACTATTTATGAGCCAATTTTTGTTGTGTACCTAAGTTTTATTCAAGAACTCATACAAAATATTCCAGGTAAATGAATTTTAATCCTCATTGTCCTCCCCTTCTTTGTGCTGGTTGATCTGGAAGGAAGCAATTTATAACTCTTTGCTGTTAGCAATTACACATAGCCAACCATGTAGATTATTCTTTTGGTGAGATATTTCAAAGTCCTGGCTAACCACTCCTCTCAGTGATGACTTCCCCTCCAGCAACATTCCCAGCTTTTCTGTTCACCTTCAGTCTCTCTCATAGAAACAGCTCAAAATTGTCAGCAGCCATGCTTCCATCTTCTACAGGGTGGGTATAGTCCAAGGTGAGCTTCAGAACCTGCTTCTTTCTTTTTGCCCTCCTTCACCACAAGCCTTGTCATGGGTGCTGTGGCGGCAGGGGAGGCATTTTTTTTTTTTTTTTTTCATTAGACAATTGTGATTTTATTTTAAGATTTTTTTTTTCTGTACTGGGGCTTGAACTCAGCGCCTGGGTACTGTTTCTGAGCATTTTCACTCAAGGCTAGTATTCTATCACTTTGAGCCACAGCAGCACTAGGGGAGGCATTTTTTAAGAAGACATAGTTTCAGAGATAACTGAGTAAGAGCTACAAGTGAAAGTGGATAGCAAGAATTCCAAAGGCCTATGGACCCTTGGTAAATATTCAGCCTGAAAATAACTCATGTGCCTAGCCTCAGGATGAGGGTATTCATAGGACATCAAGCTTGGCAATAACAATTATGTCTCAACAGCCTTAACACTAAAAGTTGTGATTTCCTCAGTGGCAAAGGACCACCTTCTAGACCATTTATCATGTTACTTAAGCATTATGCTACTTTCAGAAGAATTTTCTAAGTTTGTACTGACATTTAAAATAATGGATGCAAGATGAAAAATTATATTTGGCATAAATTTTACTGTCAATCTTAATAATCTTAGATATGATTCCACCAGTCTTCTGACATCACCACATCATAGCTACTATCCCATGGTTTTAAAATTTTATACACACATATATATATGAATATAAACACAAAATAATTTTCACATTAACAAAACCCATATATTTGCATATACACATATGTATGTATATATAAGTATATATTTGGAGATACATTATCTTGCCTTGTCAGGACTTGGATCCTTTTACATATACTGTATTCCTGTGACAGTTCTTTGAATTATAATTCATACCATCTTCTAAAATATTTTCCTCCTCTTTTTATTTTATTTATATTTTTTGAGCTGGCACTGAGACTTGAACTTAGAGCCTGGACACTGTTCTAGAGCTTTTGTGCGCAAGGCAAGCACTCTACAACTTGAGCTATGCTCTACTTCTAGCTTTTTGCTGGTTAATTGGAGATAGGAGTCTCATGGATTTTACTGTCTGGGCTGGCTCTTTGAACAGCAATCCTCAGGTCTCTGCCTCTGCCACTGGTACCCAGTTCTTTCCTTTCCTTTTCTTTTCTTTTTTGTTATTTTTCTTGATAAAGTCTTTAGTTTTTGTCAGGGTAGGCTTTCCTACCTATGTTTCCTGTGTATCTGGGATGACTGGCACATGACCACTCCTACCCAGCTTCTTTGTTGAGATAGTGTCTCACCAACTTTTTACCCATGCCTTCAAACTGTATTCTTCCTGATATCTACTTCCTGATCCTAATATCCTAATAGCTGGGATTATAAGCATGAGCCACCCCTTACCCTTCCTAAAAGTCTTTAAATGCCCATAATTTTTCCATTAGTATTATATCTAATATGAAAGACAAATTAATTTGCATTTCCGGATCTTTGCCTTTGCTATATTCTATCAATTTTTTCTAGAAACTTGGTGAATGTTTCCTATTCTTGTCATTTATTCTAAATCTCAGATAAAAATCCAAGGTAGGTATTATTGGCTGAAGCCCGATTGCTGGCAAATTCAGAGAAATTTTGTTTTTACTTACCTTGTGTTTTGCATTAATTTTTTAAAAGTTTCTGAGAAATGGGGCAATTTGCTTTTTGATGTTACCCTGTCGCTAAAGAAAAATTATAACCAAGCTGTAACAAATAGTCTGAATTTGCTACATTTGAAGGGAGAAAGACTGAGGTGCAAGACCTGGATTAGTAATCTTTTTACAGCAATTTCTAAATCATCTAGTTAGAAATTGCTGCTTGCTGCAATCTTGAACCTAAACATACATATCCTTTAAAAATTATTGAAATTACATCAGAATTTTTATATCTCTTTGCAGATATTCCGGGCATGTAATGACTGGGTGCATCCCTAGGCTATTTAATCAAGTCTAACCTTGCATTCTTCTTTTAGGGCAATTGTAAGACTTAAACTTGCTAATTTAATGGCCCAGTTCATTGTTGATTAAACTATCAGAAACCAAATTAGTTTTATCTCCCAACCAGCTGATTGTTTTATTTCACTGATGGGCTTGAAATTCTGTAAGATATGCTAATTTCCTGTTATGGAGAATATCCTACTGCTTGCTTTTACGCACACTTTATAGCACTTTTCATTTATTTAGCAAATGTTTGGCACTTAATGTGTATGGTTATTAGACATAAGGTGCATTCTCAGCAAATTTTAGTTTGGAGGTTTTCTGTTAAATAATCTCTCCGATGTGTGGGATTTTTAGATCAGGTCATTAAATACCTCTTTAAATTTGGGCATTTTGCTGGGGAAAAAATTAACTTCCATGAAACTGATCTGTTAAACAGTACTCACACTGAACATAGGTGGCTCACAACTGTAATCCTAGTTACTGAGGAGGCTAAGATTTAGATCAGGATCCAAAGCCAGTCTGCCAAGAAAGTCTATAAGACTCTCATCTTCAATTAACCACCAAGAAGCTGGAAGTGGAGCTGTGCTTCAAGTGATAGAGTGGCAACCTTGAGCAAAGAAAAGCCAAGGGACAGCACCCAGACCCTGAGTTTAGGCCTAGTATCAGCACAAAATGATAAGGAAAAATAAGAACAAAAAACTTCCTGTGTTATTAATGTATGGATATGTATTTGTAAAAAGTGTAGCTAGATGCCTAAATATGAGAACTGTCTAGAGAATGCCCAAAGCTGTGTGATCTAAGATAAGTAGAATAAATACATCTCTACCCTATTTTAACTAGCCAACTTAGAAAATGCTTCTGTTGTCGTCTGCTCTTTAAATTTCTAGAAGCAAAATGTACTTTTAGGTGACTACGGTTGCTTTTCAAAATGCTCTTGCTTGGAGAAGGTGAGGTGAATCTCTAGTTACAAATAATAATGGAGTTTAGTGCCATGAAGATGTACATCTTTTGCGTTCTTCAGGAAACCCTTGCAGTTTCTTGGGCTTTTCTTTTATTTCCCCAAATGGCTACTTTCTAAGGCAAAATGGCTGACTCAACAACTTCTAGGTAGGTATCTCTGTCCACTCCTGTCTGCAAAGGAATCTCAGAAATATAATTTTCAGCCATTCTTCTCTGAGTTCTGCTGGTGAGGAAGAAGAGGCTAGCTATTGAGTAGGCAGACCACTACCAGTAATTCCTGTAGATGTAACAGGCCCCCTCATTCCCTCAACTTTGTCTCTCTCCAAAGCACACATAGATTATTATCTCTGTTAAGATTTCCTGACCCTAGTTATCTTTTCAGGTCATACTCTTTACAGAATTTTCAACCCTCAATTATCTACAGTTTAAATTCCTAGAAATAGGATTGTATGGTAGGAAGAAGAGTGGTCTTGGGATCTGGAGACCTGATGTCTAGTTCTAGTTCATCTGACCTCAGAGCTTCCACTTTATCCTGTGGATAATGGAAATAAAATATTTTGTCAGTATTTTATAAGCTTCTTAAAGGAAAAGATGAACACAGTGAATAGATGGTATTGGTATGATGATCATGTTCGAAATTAATTTTCAACCTCTTAAACAGAACAAGCTGTTGCACTTGACTTATGTTATATCAAGTTACAGTCTGGAAACATCTAGTTTTGTTTTGATTATCTAATACCCACCCACATCTCTGGTTGAAATAGTCTTTGATATTATTCTCTTTGTATTTCTTCATCTTGTCATTCCTGCCTTCCTCACTGACAGCCTGTTTTTATTTACGATCTTATTATTCCACTTCTTGCATAGCTTTTGCAGTAACACTCAATCAATTTCAGTCCCTACTCTCTCTTCTCATCGCACACCTGCACACTTTTCTACAATAGCTATCATTTTTGCTTTTAGGAGATATAATGTGCCGTGAGATTGTTATGTTATTATTTAGTAAGTATCTTCATACTTTGGGGCATTAGATTGTTTACATTTTTAGTTGTTATAATGTGTGGTAGTAGACATTTTGTATCTACTTGTATACTATATGTATAGTATATATGCATGTTTATAATATGAGTTGCTGGAATAATGGATGGGTTTTTGAGACTTTGCTTCATTTTCTTGGGGATAATTCCAATTTATGTGTCATGAACAACAGAATATGAATATATCTCCTCTCCTTCTTGGCTTCTGCATCCTCTTGCCTTCCATCCTTCCTTCCCAGTGCTGGGACTGGGAAGTAAGCCCAGGTCCTTGATCATGCTAGGCTGTAGCATGATCTCTATAGCAAAGCTACACTAACAACTCTATCAAAGCTTTACATAGCACCACAAGGAATTAAAATATGCCCTATTGACATTGATTATTGAGGTTAAAGGCACTTGGAAAACAGGAATGCCAGAAGAATTTTGATTTCCTTTTTCTTCAAAAAGCAGGAGATAAAACTGGCAAAGTTACTTTCCTGTAGCAGGAGAAAGGAAGTTACTCTTCTAACTGGGCTGTCAAGGCATAAACCTTGTTAACTAACTATTAACTTCTGGTCGTTTTTCTTTCATTTCTTGTTCTAGCCCAGACCTCTTTGTCATGCCATGTTTTCACAGTTTATAGTTCTGTCTGACCTGGTGTGTAAGTGTTTTGCTGTCACTGCTTCTGTTATTTTTAATTTTTTCTTATGAGGACTCTTAGGAACTTGTAAACGTTACTAAATGAAATCTGTATGCCTTTCTCTTGCTATCCTGTCTTAGGTGAGTTTTAATCAGTCTCACACACCTATTAAAAATATGAAAAATATGGCTTATCCATTTTCATACACATAGAATCCAGGCACTCCATGTCCAGGAAGGTTTGTGTATTGCAATCAAGGTAAGCTTTTACTGAACATTGGTTAAGACATTGTATATTAATACAGCTGGCTGAGGATCCTTTTGCATTTTGTAGCTAGCAATACTAAAAGTGAACAACTCCCTCCATGCTGGATGCCAGAGGCTTATGGGCTGGGTTTTCAAACCCAGAAGCTTTATGATAGCCTAGAATCAGAGAACTGTGATTCCTTGTCCTCAGAGTGAGAGACTTATTGGTCTGAACTTCCAAAGGCAAAATCTTATTGCTCTAGGCCTTGAGAACTAGAGGCTTATGTCTATAGGTTTCAAAGCCTGAGACTTAGGCTCAGGTTAGAGGCTAAGTGGTCTGTGATCTGAGTGCTAGCCTAGCACCTAGCAGTGTGTTCCAGTGCCAAGATTCTGGATCTTTAGCTCTCTGCAACTCCTTCAGAATGGTATTTCTTCCATAGAGTAGCATTTCCTCTATTCAAGAAATATTTTATCCCAAATTCATCTTTTCAGTTTTAAAGAATTTATCCACACTTAGACATTTAACATTTAATATGAAAGAAATCACTTAAGGATTAATGGTTCTTCTAAAAAAAAGAATTCATAGTTCTTTTGGAGGCCAAATATTTCTATACACAATAAGCAATGTGTGTAAATGAAGTGTAGTTACTGAAAGAATTGCCAAACAGAAGCAATTTTAACTATTTTTCTTCAGACTATACAGAATAAATTCTTATCTATTGTATTTTTCTCCCTAGGTAAACATGTCAAACCTTTTACACCAGAGAAAGCAAAAGAAATTATAATGTCTTTACAGCAACCTGCAGTTTTCTTTAATATGGCTTCTGATTGGCCAGCACGACATTGGACTGCCAACCACATTTCAGAGCTCCTTCCTAGCAAGCAAATACGATTTAGAATGGGACTAAAAAGCAGAGACACAGGTAGGGCTATAACTCATCATCACCGTGTCTGTTGACTCCACTCCCTCTTCCCAGTGGGAATTTCTGATTTCTGGGAACGTTTTTTGTCTTCAATCTTCTTTTTAACCATTCACTCTATAAATAGATAGATTTTTTTTTTCTGTTCCTGTAGCTTGAACTCTGGACCTTGAGCTGTCCCTGAGCTGCTTTTGCTCAAAGCTAGTGCTCTACCACTTGAGCCACAGCTCCACTTCCAGCTTTTTCTGTGATTAATTGGAGATAAGAGTTTCATGGACTTTCCAGCCTAGGCTGGCTTTGAACTGAGAACCTCACATCTCAGCCTCCTGAATAGCTAGGATTACAGGTGTGGGCCACAAGCACCCCACTTAGGAAAATTTTATTGGAAACTCTTGGAAAGTAGTTTGGCATAATGTAGCTTATTTTTTTTTAAGACAAAGCAATTGAGTTTAAATTCCCACATAAAATGAAAATGTATTTGTTCATGTATTGAATTATGCATGTTGCCAGACATATTGTACGTCAGCGAACATGGAAGACATGTAATAAATATTTATTAACATGCCATTATTTATATTACCATCTGACTAAAAAAATGAACGCTATAATACTGTTGTTATAATATTAATATACAATCTAATAATGAACAATACACTGTAATAGTTTTTTTTTTTTTGGCCAGTCCTGGGGCTTGAACTCAGGGTCTGGGCACTGTCCCTGAGCCTCTCTGTGCTCAAGGCTAGCGCTCTACCACTTGAGCCACATTCCCAGACCTTTAATATTTTATTTTTTTATTATTGTTATAAAGGTGATGCACAGAGGAGTTACAGTTAACCTAAACCACTTAAAGAGTACATTTTTTGCCAGTCCTGAAGCATGACCTCTGGGGGCCTGGATGCGGTCCCTGAGCTCCTTTTGCTCAAGGCTGGCAAGAGTACATCTCTTTTTGGACAATGTCACCCCTTCCCTACCTTGACATCTGTAGAGTATGTTCTTTTATTTGTGGCTTCAGACTATTGATAGTGCTTGGTTTTAATTGTAATTTTTGTCCTTTGCTTTACTGGCTGCCTGTATTGTGTTTAAAAAATATGGAACATATGTAATGATGTTTGTTTATGAGTATATGGTGTTAAGGACCAAATCCTACTTATACAAGTTAAGCAAGCACTCTATTACCAACCTAAATCCCCAGACCCCTCTCTCTCCCTCTCCTTCTGTCCTTTTACTTGCCCTCTCTTCTTCCTTCCTTTCCTCCCTTCCTCTTTCGGTCCTCTCACTCATCTCTTCCTCTCTCCCTTGCTCCCTCTCCCTTGTACTAGGTCGCCCAGACTGGGCAATTATTTTAGCAATCCTCTTACTTTGACCTCCAGCATTGTTGGGGCTATGAGTACATATTACTACTTGGTTTTGTTTGTTTATTTTGTTTTTTAATTCTCAAGCAGATTGATTTTGCCTGCTCCCTTTTCTTCATAGAAGTTTTCGAACATTTCCATTTTTCCCTCTATTTCTACTTAAAACAATTGTCTTTAACAGTTAACTCTAGAATTCAGTTATTGTAAAGGAAAGAAATGGTGTTAAAATACAAAGAAGTCCATAATAGTTGTCTAGCATCCAATTTGTATTTTAATATGGGTGAGAATTTCAGTATTTAAGCCTCACAGTGAAGTGGCTTTGAAATCTATTAATAGCTCAAGAGGAACTAGAAAGTTCCCCCGTGTCCCATCTATAGCTCCATGTTCTTCTCATGTTTTTAGTGCCTAGAACCCTCTTAGACTTCTGTGACAGAGACAGAAGTGTTATTTATACAGGTATCTCATTTTAATCACAGCAATGAACTGTTGATGGTATCTTAAAGTTAAAGACCAGACTAACAGCAATACCATAAAATCAGGTTGTACTTTTTCCTTCCTGGTTCTATTGAAAAAGATCTGTCACTCATTGAAGCAGCCTGTTAGATATAAACTTGAAGAGAAACAGGAATTGTATCTCTTTCACATCCTGGCTAGACTGCAGATTTACTACCACTACTAGCAGCTAAAATGGGTTGAAACCTGTTGTCTCAGGCCTATTAACTGTTCACCTGAATCCATTCTGTTAATCTGCTTACCACTTAGAATGGTACTATTCTTAGAATGGTACTGTTATTATTCTGTGCTATAGATGGGGCATAGTAATTTGACATTTTCAAGTTAATATCTGAGCATAAAAGAAAATGAAATGAACCTCTGCAGTTGTAAGAAACTAATCTGTGTTTTCAGTAAAGATAACTTGGTCTTTAAAAAATTCCTGTCAAGCCAGAAGTAGAGCTGTGACTCAAGTGGTAGAATGCTAGCCTTGAGCAAAAGGAGCTCAGGGACAGCACCCAGGCCCAGAGTTCAAACCCCAGAACTGGGCAAAAAAATTACATCAAATTCCTACAACATAAAATTCAGCCTATTAGGGGCTGGGAAGATGGCTCAGTGGTAGATCTCTTGCCTTGCATGCCTGAGGCCCTGGGTTCAATTCCTCAGCACCACATAAGCAAAAAGAAAAAAGCCGGAAGTGGCGCTGTGGCTCAAGTGGTAGAGCTGAAGAGCTGAGGGACAGCGCCCAGGCCCAGAGATCAGGCCCCATGACCGGACCCCCTTCCCCCCCCCAAAATTCAACCTATTAGTCATTTTAAAACATTCAGTTCAGGGCTGTTAATATTTAGTGTGTAACTATTACTGCTGTTGAATTTCAAACAGTTTATATCGTGTTCAGATGGCCACTACCTTTAAGTAGCTGATTTCCATTCTGCCTTACCTAGCACTAGGTAATACACATTGAGGACATATCGTTTAAACAGAGTCAGGGAACATCTGCCCTTTTGTCACTGGGTTCTTTCATCTAGCTTGTTTTCAAGGTTCATCCACATAGTAGTCCAAGTGAGACTGGGACTTCTTGGAGACATCCATAAAATCTGAAATTCTTTGAAGCCTGGATTTTCTGAGCACCAACATGATTATTACTAGTAGAAAGCTGCACATCTGACCTAATGTGATAGGTCATTGTCAAAATGCAGGTGCACTAAAAACATTGGATAGTGTTACCTTTAGTCTGTGTGTGTGTATGTATTTGTGTGTGTGTAAGATATATATATATATATATATATATATGTATAAATGAGTTTCATATTTAGAATTTGGTTCCAATTGCTAAGATAGCTCATTACACGTATACTAATATTCTAAAATTCAGAAAAATTAGAATCACATTTGGGTCTCAAGCATTTGAGATAAAGGACACTCAATCTGTATGTGTCAGTGCTTCATTTTTCTTCATTGTCAAATATTCTATTGTATGAACATACACATTTTATCCATCTCATTAATTCTATTATCACTGATTAATCCTTTTTTAAACCTTTTTTAGCTTTAGAAATTACTTTTATTATATTCCTGTGTTCTTGCCCATTCATGTATTAGTTTCTAGGTCACATATTAAGCTATGACATTAGTAACACAATTTAAGAACACTATTTTAGGCGGGGCTCTGGTGGCTCATGCCTGTAAATCCTAGCTACTGAGGAGGCTGAGATCTGAAGATCACAGTTCAAAGCCAGCCCGGGCAGGAAAGTCCATGAGACTTATCTCCAATTAACCACCAGAAAACCAGAAGTGGTGCTATGGTCCAAGCAGTAGAGTGCTCATCTTGAGCTGAAGAGCGCAGGAATAGTGCTCAAGCCCAGAGTTCAAGCTCCATGACTGACAGAAAAAAACAAAACAAAAAAAAAACAACAAAGCAGTGGTGTATATTTTAATACTTAAAAGTATAGTTCATTCTACCTGGTTTCTTATTGTATATATTTATATTCTTAGTTGACATGGAGTGATAGATAGATAGATAGATAGATAGATAGATAGATAGATAGATAGATAGATAGATAGATAGATGTATTTATGTGGCATGTGGTAATTCACTTCATGTATATATCATGTCCAAATCAAGTTATCTTCCACCTCAAATATCGATTATTTCTTTGTGGGGAGAGAAAATTTTCAACATCATTTCTTTGGGCTCCTCTGAAACACACAGTACATTGTAGTCATCTAGTCACCTTACTGAGTCATCAAATACCAGAAATTATTCTCCTACCTATAGCTTAGTTTACATTGACTAGTTTTTCTCCATCTCTCTGACCCCTAGAAAAACACTATTCTACTCTCAGCTTATATTACTCGTCTTTCTTAGATTATCATTTAATTTCATTAATGTAAATGAACTTTGAAATGCTGATGGGATTTAAAATGAAAATTCATTAAGCTCTGAAAATTAATTTGAAAAAAAAATCACACTTTTCCTGGTGGACAAAAAAATATTTTCAGGACTTTTTTTTTTTTTTTCAAATGAGAGCTCAAACTGAGCTCAGTTTGCACCATACTGCCAAATCCTGAACTTAGTTGTGCTTCTTACCTAACACTTGGCAGTAAGTAGGATGACAGTCCCAGATGCTAAAGCAACTTCAACAGTAAATAAAAGAACAATAATGATAAAGTTAGACAGGAGTAATTCCAGTACATAAAGTTAAACTAAGAGAAACAAATGTACTACCCAGAGAAAAACTGTCACTATAATGAAGTCAGACAGCACTTTTGTGTTCCTTCATCTGGGAAGCAGTGAAATGATTCTATCATTATGTAAATCAAAAGGTCAGTCATTTCCATTCATTGTATCATTTTAATTTCTCCTGACAGTAGCAGTTCTCATGTGCAATTTTTACATTTCAGATTTTCATTTTTAATATTCAGATCTTGCTGTGACAGAAAATGAAGTCCTCTAATAAGTCCAGGATCTGGGGGAGGGGGGCGGGGGTTCTGTGCAGACTTGTTTGTAAAAGTGACCTCTCCTGGAAAGTCCTGTTATATGTATCTACCCCAAGGGAAGTGTGGCTTCAGTTAAAGGATCTTGTATTTAGTTGGGTAAGTTGGATTGAATTCTGTAGTAATGAATTTACAAGACAATATAAATTTCTCTTTCTTTCTTTCTTTCTTTCTCTCTCTCTTTCTCTCTTTCTCTTTCTCTTTTTCTTTCCTCCTTCTCCCCTCTCCTCCCCTCCCTTCCCCTCTCCCCTTTTCTCCCCTCCCCTCCCATCCCCTCCCCTCTCTCCTCTCCTCTTTTTCTTGTATGTGTATGTTGATCCTAGGGCTTGAATTCAGGTCCTAGGTACTGCCTCAAATCTTTTTTGCTCCCAGGCTAGTGCCCTACCACTGGGGCCACAGCCACTTCTGCCCTTTTGGTGGTTAATTGGAGATAAGAATCTCACAGACTTTCTTGCTCAGGCTGGCTTCCAACTGAGACCCTCAGCTCTTAGCCTCTAGAGTAGCAAGGATTATAGGCATGAACCACTGGCTCCCAGAAACAATGTAATTTCTTTAGTTTTACAGTAGAAGTTACTAAAATAATGAGAAATGATTCCTGTTTATCATTTATTATGAAGTTTTCTTCTCATTTTCATTTTTGCTAATAAAAATATAACTATGTACTCTTATGCTATTATAGTGAAATATTGATGATGTCAGTGATATTAAATCTTAAATGTTTTGATAGTTTGCTACATGCCAGGCACTTTTTTAAGTGCTTCTCAAAAGTTTATAAAAAATTTAAATAGTTACTGTGTATGTAGATTTTTATCTTCTAGATCATTGTACTTATGAACTTTTCATGCTTTGCAAATGTGGTAAGTTGATGAAGTAGATGGATTTGAATGATTCTTTGGTACTCTTCCTTCTCTCTGTGGTGTTAGGAAAAATAAGGGAAGGGAAAAGAATGATTCTGTAATTATAAATGGTTCAAGAAGGAAGAGAAAAAAATAGAAAAGCTGTTGAAAGGAAGAAGGATTGTCATACCATTCTTCTAATTCAGTTGAGTTTGAAAGGTTGCAAGTAAATGTACGACAAGTACTGACAATGGTATCTACTACTAATAGTATTTGCTAAGTGTCAGAACTGATATTTTCCTGAAAGGATTTCATGCTTTGCAAAGATTATAATCTGATTTCTTAAATACTAACTCCTTTGTGTTCATTTACAATATTCTGCTATTTGCAGATTAAATTAATTTTGTTGCTCTCACATCAATCTAAGACTCCATAGCAGTAAACCACCAGGAACAGATAATGGGCTTCCCTCTCAAAGCTTTCCTGCTCTGCTCCCACATACAACACAGAAGTTTATATCTAATTATACAGTGCCTCAAGTTGTATTGTTGTAGCCAAATGCTTTATCTTTGAAATACACTTTTGTCTCCCTTTTGAAACAGGATCTTGCTATGTAGCCCAAAGTAGCCTTTAACTCATGATCCACTTGTCCCAGCCTTTGATTGCTGGGAATATAGGCATGTATAACCATATCTAGCCTTGTTTAAATACATTCTAAATTCAAAAATACACTCTTTTCTTTTCTGTTCCTACAAGCATGGTGTTAATTATAAATTACATACTTAAAGATCCTAAGTTAGAATCTTCCTAGTACCTTTCTTCACTGCCTTTTCTCTCATACTCAGTGAGCATAAGATCCATCTACATTTCAACATCATTGAGGACCCCAGTGAGTTTTGGGTGGTGTGATTTGTCATTAGTAACACTAACTATATTGGAACAAAATGGAGAGCTTTTAAAACCTAAAAATATAAGTGCATGCCCTACCAGCTGTCAGTGCAAGGATATCATATACTTCATGGAGTCTGGAAAACACAGCACAATCATAAGAGAGTAAGAGTGAAAAAGACAATTAATGTCTTAGCATTATAGGGAAGCAGTTCTAACCTCACCCTTATGGGTCTTGGAGAATTAATCATCTCAGTTCTTCTACTGGATCACTAAATCAGGCCATAATAAGGCTTGTTTTTAAATCTTGCCACCCTTTATTTTGGGAACGGGTGGCTCTGGAGTTCAGGATGGCCTGGAACTTGCTATACAACCTAGACTGGCTTCAAATCACCATCCTCCTTGCCTCTGCCCCATGAGTACTGGAATTACAGATATACACCATACAGATATACTCAGCTGGGAATAAAAGAGTAAACTATGTTTTTCACTTTTATGCTGTACTGTGAATGGTTAAATGGTTCTAATTATATAACAAGTACAAATTAATTTTTAGTTACTATTAATATAATAGTTTGGTTTTTTGGTGAAGTGGGTTGAAATTAACTTTGGTGGGTTCACAAGTTTGTGGTAGCACACATCTGTAATCCAGCTGTGTGGAAGGTAGAGATGAGAGGATTGTGCCATTCTCAAGAAAGCTTGAGACCCTATCTGAAAAATGAGTAAAAGGAAAAGGACTGAGGTGTGGCTTAAATGGTAGAGTGTTCCCAAACTAGTGCTAGGTGTAGCTGCAAACTGCTGTACCACCCACCCATACACACAAAGAGGAAATTACCTTTATTTAAAAAGTACCAATAGTATTTGAAACTGTTCATTATACATTTAAAGTTATGTTCTCTTACGTTGTAGTTCCTCAGTTTGAAACTGCATGTAGTTACGTGGAGGCTACACTTGAAGAGTTTTTGACCTGGAATGCTGACCAACCTCGTATTTCTGGACCATTTAGAGATTATGATCATTCCAAATTCTGGGCTTATGCTGACTATAAATATTTAATTAGTCTATTTGAAGACAGGGCAGATGTTTTTCAGGTAAGTAATGAAGTCCTTTCCATCTTAGTGAGAACTGGCTCACAAGAAAAGATGGTAAATCCACATCTTCCTGGTATCTTATTCTTTCACTGCTACTTTCTGTCATAAGTAGTCAGTGTGTTTTGGGGATTTCGCCCAGTGGAGTAGAAGGGTCTGCCTCAGAGACATATGACATTTGGCTCACATAGATGAGCAGCTATGTCAGTTTTCTTACTCATCTTTCCTCACATCCTTCCGTTGCCTTTGAAATGTACTATAAACAGGTGGTATATAAACCTTACTTCCTCCTAATCTACACAGAAGTTCCTGCTCTGTCAGTGAGACAGGTAGAGGTGCAAATCTGATTCTGTGAGAGGCATTTGGGATGTTACCAGGTATTCAGTAGTGGATAGAGCTCAGAAGTGTGAGAATGAATGAACTGCAGAAGTGAGAATATGGACATTCTTTTCCCTGTGTTGACACTGACCAGGGTTTGCAACCTCAAATGACCTGTGGTGATCTTGAAAACACCCTGCTCTGCTTTCTGCCTTGTCCTAGGTGTAGGATGGTAGTGGGAGTGGTCCCATGGAGCTCATTTGGATAACTGTCTTAGCTGGAATCCTTCACTCTGCCCCTGGTTCTCTGGGGAAAAAAAAAAATCTCTCCCATTCCTGCTCCTCCTACTTACATGGGACAGTGGTTCCTTGGCTCCAGAACAGTTTCTGTTCAGCCTGTAATGTTCTTTTTCTCTGTGAGTTATTAATGTGGATTGCAGATTAAGACCTGTAAAGTAGTAATATATATCAAGTACTTGTCCTTGGTCCTTTTATAAGTGCCTTACATTTAGAATCCTCCCAGTAAATTAATGATTTTAATACTGATCCCCATTTTAAGAAAAATAAGGAACAAAGATTATGCAACCAAGAATGGGTTGCCATGTGTGATCTCCCTCCAGAGCTGTCACTAGCACTGTGCCTTCAAACACATGCAGCTGCCCTGTGGGGCTTTGCAGATGGATAGCACCCTTCTAGCCCAACTGAGTCCCTCTCCTGCTGCCTCCAGTGGTGCTCATTTGACCCCTCCAGTTGTCTGTAGCATCCAACCATGTCTCCAACAGGCAGGCATGTGACCTGGCCATGAAGTGTGGCATAAAAGAAAGCCTTTTGTAAATGTACTGGAATTCCAATTAAGCCCTTGTAAAATCTGATATGTGTAGTCAGATGAGGTTTCTGTCAGGTTATAGTGATTCATTCTGCTGTGAACAACCAAATCTATTGAATTTTTTTTAATTTAATTTTATTTTATTTGTGAACATACTGTACAGAGGGGTTACAATTACATGAGCAGGATAATGCGTACATTTCTTACCAAGCATTGCAGCCTCCTCCTTTGTTTACCCTTCACATCCCTTCCCAGCCTCCCCCTTCCCCAAATCTATTGAATTTTATCATCTTTCTTCTCAAAGTTTTCAGAGCATCAACTCTTCTTATATCATAAGTACCTAAGTTCTTGTTTTGCTTTCATTATTGTAATTCAGTCAGTTCCCAAATCTTAATTTATTGTTGTTCTTTACATTGGTATAAAATGGTAAATGAACATTAAAATTGATAGGTCTTAAAAATCAATTCATGTGAAATCACATAATAAGCCCATTAAATGTTAAATATAAATATTAATGACACAATTTAAAGAAAGTAAATATATTAAAGTTATATATTATATATTAAAATTGTTAAGGTCATTTAAAAAGTAGACTCTTATATTTTTATATTTATTTAATATCTGGCTATTGAAGATGGCCAGATTATCATTTAGGTCGTTGAAATTTGCTGGTGTGTGTGAAGGATATGAAGAAAACCTTGCTTCACATCAATATGCAGCTGAAAAAGGAGGAGTATTTTAACAGGCTTTTCAGAGAATTGTGGAATTTTTGCATATCACACCAAACCTGACACAGTATAGTTTCTTCAAAATTCATCACAATATAGAATCTGAACCCACAGCAAATAAACCCTTTTTACTCTTCTAATAAAATCCTTGCATAGAATGGATTTTTTTTTTTCTACTCCTGGGCCTTGGTCTCTGAACCTGGGTGCTGTCCCTAAGCATCTTTTGCTCAAGACTAGCGCTCTACCATTTGAGCTACAGCACCATTTCTGGCTTTTTCTGTGGTTAATTGGAGTCTTATGAACTTTCTTCCCAGGCTGGCTTTGAACCGCGATCCTCAGATCTCAGCCTCCTGAGTAGCTAGGATTATAGGCATGAGCCACCAGTGCCAGCTCTAGAAAGGATCTTTTGTAATGTCATACATTGGCAATTGGGATGAAGTTGGTTTACTGAGTTGTATAGATCTTCCAGATGTTGATACATGGGTATACTGACACTCTTCATTATTTAAAAGTCACGTTTGTTAATATTACACAATTATCATGAGAAAAATCTTTAAAATTAAGAAGCTTTCAATGTCATGTATCTGAAGGTACAGTTCTCAAGATTGTTTTCATTCAGCTCAAAATATTTCTCTTGTAATTTATTCTTTCACTTAGATTGTTTAGAACTATAATGTCTAATTTATAAATATTTTGGATTTTCTAGCTTAACTAATTGATTTCTAACATCATCTTGTTCTGGCCAAAAAATATACTTTGTTTTATTTTAGTCCTTTGAAATTTAGGAAACTTGTTTTATGGCCCAAATATAGATAATATTGATAAATGTTCACTATATACTTGAAAATAATATGCACTCTATTGTGTGGAGTGTCTTATAAATGTCAGTTAAGTCAGGCTGTTGGTTCAAATCTATATCCATACTGATTTCTCTATGTATTTGTTACCCATTATAGAGGGAGTGGTGCTGACCTCCTTCCCACCCCGCAGCTATACTTACCTTTTTGCCTTTTCATTGTAGATTGGTTCAAGTTTTGTTCCATATATAAACTTATTAAATTCACATATACATTTAAGATTATGATGGCCTCTGGATTGATATTTTATTATGATGAAATGACCCTCTCTGCCTTGGGTTCTTCTTTGTTCTGATGCTTATCTTGTTTAGTTTGCCTTTGATCAATATTAGTATGAGAAAGGAATAATTAGAACACAATCTGCTTTTATAAAATTCTAGAAGTGGCAAACTAGTTTATAGTTACAGAAAAGTTGTTAGTGGTTATTTGAGAATGAGGGAGGAGGTAAATATGTGTTATGAGAGGATACTGGGAAACCTTTAGGTATGATCAGATGTCATTTCAATTGTAATGGGTTTTCAGGTTTGTATATATACAAAAATTATATACATGAAAAAGCATAAATATAAATAATGTACATATCATATTTATATATAAAGTATATGTAAATTTACATATATATGCATATGACAAATATATATGCAAAAACTGGTGAGATTATATATCTTAAATCTTTAAGTATATGCTGCTTATAGTACATCATTTATACCCCAATAAATAATACAGTGCTACTAGTACATTTTGGTCCCACTGTCTTAACAATAACAAATCACTATTCGTGTTTCACCATCAGTGTAAATATAAGCATAGTAATATAAGCAAATAACATTTTAATAGTATTATGAAAATAGTTTTTACCTCACAAATCCCTTGAGTCTCCAAGAAGCTCTGGTATAGTTATTGTGTAATTATTATATCCTAATGCTGACTCCTAATTCTACAACAGTTCCTTATGAAAATACTCTTTTTTTTTTTTTGGGTCCCGTCGTGGGGCCTGAACTCTGGGCTTGGGCACTGTCCCTCAGCTCTTCAGCTCAAGGCTAGCGCTCTACCACTTGAGCCACAGTGCCACTTCCGGCTTTTTGCTTATGTGGTGCTGAGAATCGAACCCAGGGCCTCAGGCATGCAAGGCAAGCGCTCTACCACTGAGCCAACTTCCCAGCCCATGAAAATACTCTTTATGCCATGCTCCACATTAAATATTAAAATGTGTTTATTATGTTCATAGCATTTCATGATTTAAAGGTTGTATATGACAGCATTTAAGGCCCTCTCTGGTGATGCATACCTGTAAGTCCCTATCCAGTCTCCTCACTATGGCTGGACATTCTACATTCCTTCTCCCCTCTGGCCTATGGTCATGCCCTTTTCAGTTTCTATGTGATAGATTCTACTTTCTAGCACCTGGCTCAAATTCTGTCCAGGCTATCAAACTTCACCTACCACACCTACATCCATTTCCCCTTGCTTTCAATATGCCCAATGTGTTTTATTTGAATTGTTACTGAAATAGTTCATGACATAAAACATTGTGTCTTGTTCCTATAACAATATTATAAGCTCTTTGGGCTATATCTAATGCTTTTTTATTCCCCCAAACTATTAACATGGTGCTAAAGTATAACAGATATGTGAATAGTTTCATGTGTATTTTTTCTCCTAGTCTTATCATTTCTTGCTTTGACATTTCTTTAGTCTTTAGAGCCCTTTAGAAAATGTTTTGATTTACACCTCTGACCTCACTCTTACCAGCTTTTCTTTGGCATCTTATGTAGGAAATCAAGTATAGTATTTGTCAATCAATAAGGCTTTCTTTTTTCTCCTTAGCCTTCTACTGATTTAATGTTTTTACTCACTAATTTGCCTTGAATTCCCCATCTAATAGCTCTTCTCTTCTATAAAGTAAATTCATCTACTGTATAACATTTAAATTTAAATATATGAATACATATACTCACAAATGTATTGATAGGGTTGGAGAGTAATGTGGTAATCTTACAAGTAGCTTAAAATTATGATTTTGATACTTAAGTGATTTTTGTGTATTGAAGTAGTCTCATTATTTTTCAGTTATGCACCATATCATTGCCTAACCCAAGTAAACCATTTTTGAACACGTTGTCCTCTTCTACTAAAGGCAGATAGTGAGTTTGTGACAGCAGTAAGATTTTTTTTTAGTCTCTGACTCATTAGGCAAGAATGATGTCTTAACTTTTTCAGTTATCAATGAGTATCCTTGTAATTGAGGCAATTAAGAATTAACACATGTAGTGCAGCATATACAAGGCCCAGCACTGCAAAGAAAGGATCACTTTATAGCAAAAGGGAGTTTTCTCCCAAGAATAATTTTCAGGTAGTTCCCATTTTATATTATTATTTGGATTGGCTTCAGAGAATCAGGAGCCTTAATAAGCCACCAAGATACATAATCCTTACGTGCAATAAGTATGTTAGTTGTAACCTCCTTTGGACTTTATGACATAGCTATGTTGAATTTAAGCAGGTGGTTTGATAATGATTAAAAGAATCTAATGACCAATGATTTTTTTTGGTGTGTGTGTGAGGTGTGATTACATGTGTGTATGTGAACACACGAGCTTGCACACTACTATCAGGACTTGAACTCAGTTTTCAGCCCTTTCTTGTTTGGCTTTCCTGCTCACAGCAGTTCTGCCATTTGAGCCATGTCTCCACTCTGTCATTTTGCTAGTTAATTGGAGACAGAATCTCATAGACTTCTGTTCAGCTTGGTTGGAACCTTGAGCCTCCTGAGTAGGTAGGATGACAGGTGTGAGCCACAAACACTTACTTCAGTGATGACACTGGCTTTTTGATGAAGCAAATTGGCATGCTAGAATTTTGCTTTTCATCTAACCTATCAGTGAGTAGAGAGTTAATGATCCCTTTTCTGTTTATATACCTGAAGGTAACTTTTTAAATTTTATTTATGTATTTATGTATTCATTTATTTTGTTGGTTGTGGGGCTTGAACTCTGGGTCTGGGTGCTGCCCCTCAATTCTTCAGCTCAAGGCTACCACTCTACCACTTGAGCCACAGTGCCACTTCCAGCTTTTTCTGTTTATGTGGTGCTAAGGGCCTTATGCATACAAAGCAAGTATGCTACCACTGAGCCACCTTCCCATTAAAAGGAGAGCCTGATGCCCATAGCTCATACTTGTAATCCTAGCTACTCAGAATGTTGAGATATGAGGATCACAATTCAAAGTCAGCCAGGGCAGGAAAGTCTGTGAGACTGTTAACTCCAGTTAACCACCAGAAAACCAGAAGTGGCACTGTGGTTCAAAGTGGTGTAGAGCTCTAGCCCTGAACAAAATTGCTCAGGGACAGTGCCCTGGCCCTGAGTTCAAGCACCACAACCAACAACAACAACAAAAGGAAAGAAAGAAGAGGAAAAAAAAAGAGACTTAAGTATTTGCTAATATGTAACATCCTTTGAAGGATTCAAATTTAAACTGAAGTATTCGTCCATATAAGGGACATGATATATCAGCGGTTCATATATCAGATTCTGTGTGATAGTTGTGGACCTGAAATGTAATTTTGACATGTCTATAATTACCTTCATGTGCAGTTAAAAAAAAACTAGAATGCCCATAGTCTAAAGCAAAGGAGATTTAAACAGATGTGTATCTAATGTGTCACTTATGACTATACTGGAAGATAAGTGAACCAATGAGGTACTTGGACTTGCCTAGGAGAAAAAGATTCTATAGGAAAACATTTAGATTAAATTTCACTGAATCCAACATTTTACATTTAACATGTAGAAATAAGGGCTTAATACTATATATATATATATATATATATATATATAAATTATACATAAATATATTTATATAAAATCGTGATAAGTCATGAGTTTATGCTGGAAGTAACTCAATTTTTGAAAACAATAAACAGCTCTTGATAAAATTATAAAAACAAAGTATTAAATTCAATATATATTAAAACCATGCAAACTCTCTTTGGTGATAAGTTAAATAGCATTCTAATCTGGATAATTGCAAGCAGATTTTTCAGCATTGTGCAAACTCTGCACGTTGCACCTTTTTTGTTGTGTTGAGCTACATCTTAGGCCCCCATCCATTTAGTGCCAGTGGTGCTCCTTTCCAATATGTGTGACAACCAGAACTGTCTACACATTGTTTTACACATTGTTCCACAGCACCGTTAAGAGGACAGTACTGTTCCTTAATTTCTCTATATGTTAAATAGATAAAACTACTTTCAGTCTGAAGAGTAAATGAGATATAGGCCTAGTCTCCTGTAAGATTCAATAAATAGGTTGAGAAGATTTGATAGCAGTTGAAAATAGCTGTCTAGCTGTGATGTTAGGATGGATAAAACACAGGACACCAGGCAAAAACCAGTAAGATTAAATTTAAGGGGGATAAATGTAGGGCTCCATGGATGTTGCCTAAAAGCTGTTTGCAAATCAAAGCTAAAGACACAATTAGTCAACAGTTCAAAAGACAATACAGGAAGGCCCCACATTAGCCTTGGTATAGTTCAATTGCTTAAAAATAAAATCACTGTCTGCCAGTGCATTATAGTATGATAGCCCAGTACAATCCATGTCCAAGGTACTACCCAGGCTTCCATTTGTAGCCACCTTTCTTTTGACAAAGAAGTTAAAATAGAGCTTCTTAGAGAAAAAAACATAATGCTTCCACTTGTAGGTTAAAAAAAAAAAAGGAAAAGCATGGCATCTTTTTCAGATAATTTAAAGACAATAATTTTGGGAGAAAAGATACTTATTCTCTGTATCTATATAAAGCAGAACTGAGCAGGGCACCAGTGGCTCATGCCTGTAATCCTAGTTTCTCAGGAGTCTGAGGGTCATGGTTCAAAGCCAGCCTAGGCAGAAAGGTCCCCGTAAGACTCTAGCCTTGAGCCCAACAAAGAGGCTCAGAGACAGTGCCCAGACCCTGAGTTTAGTGGAGGGGGAAGGGGGAGGAGGAAGCAGATCTGAGATACTCCTGGAAGCTACAGGAAGTCATACTGCTTTTGTAGAAAGCTGTCAACCAGACACTTGGTTGCTCTTTCTCAGGGATGCTATAAAATAGCATTTTCCAGGGATAGATAATGTCTAGAGACTTTTCCAGCTTTTGAATGGATGTCAGAGTAGATTCCAGGATGTGTTGCCACACCAAGCACATACAGTAGCCCTAACTAGGTTCCTTGTTCTTACAAAGACTCAAGGAAGATTCCCTTTTGTCCTGGATTGTTTCAGACATTTCACTACCCATAAATAGCTGGACTCAACTGGGAAGGAAATCTCAGCGCGTGTGCTCTTTTGCTATCTTTCTTTCTCTCTCTCTTGCGCACTCTCTTTCTCTCTCTCCCTCCCTCTCTCCTCTCCTCTTGTCTCCTCTCTTCTCTTTTCCTTCTCATCTTTCTCCTCTCTCTATTTCTGTTTCCTCCACATACACACACTCTCTCTCAAGAAAGGGTCTTTTTATTGCTCAGGATGACCTTGAATTAGCTACTTAGCCCAAGCTGACCTCAAACCTATTATTCTCCTCTCTTAGCCTCCTGAATGCTAGGATTATAGGCATGTGCCACCACACCAGTAAAAATCCAGACCTTTTTTTGTTGATTGTGGGGCTTTGAACTCTGGGCCTGAGTGCTGTCCCTCAGCTTTAATGCTCAAGGTAAGCACTCTACATCTTGAGCCACAGTGCCACTTGTGGTTTTCTGGTGGTTAATTGGAGATAAGAGTCACACAGACTTTCCTGCCCAGCCTGGCTTTGATCCATGATCCTCAGATCTAGAAGTAGAGGTATGGCTCAAGTGATTGAGTGTCAGCCTTGAGCAAAAAAGCCAAGTGAAAGTAAGAGGTCCTGAGTGGAAGTCCCAGTAGCATTACAAGAAAAAAAAAGCTGTATGACATCCCTAGTTGGAGATTCTGCTTTAGTTTTAGTAGATATGAGCTACAGTTCTGGCACATTAGTTTTAAAAGACTGCTAGTCTTTTGGAGAGAAGGCTTCTTAATGTGGTCATAAAAGTACAAAAGTAATAAATTGTTTATATCCACAAATATTGGTACTGCTTCAAGGACCCAGGGGTCCTAAGTTGAGCTTCAGCCATATTTCCACTGCCTGAACCATTCCCCCAGGTGGCTGCAGAATTGCACCTGTTGTTTAGTGTCTGCAACAGATGTAAGCTTCATCTGGATGGGATTTTGTTTTGGTCTGTTTGGTCACTGGTTGATCACAAGCCTCCAGAAAAGTTCATGGCATGATGTAAGTAGTCAGTAAATGTTTGTTGAGTGACTCCTAGAAGTGAGGTTACTTTTGCTTTTCTTTTTTTGCTTAAAACAAAATTCATGGCCTGCCCTGGACACTGTACCTCCTCTATCTGTAGCTTTCTCTATATAGGGAACTATATATAAGTGGATATGCAAAAGAAATGCTCAACTCTGACATAACAGATGACTGGTTTGTTCTTGGTGGATTATAATTTTATTTCAAAACAGGACGTGATATGGTCTGACTTTGGATTTCCTGGAAGAAATGGACAAGAGAGTACCTTGTGGATTGGCTCCCTGGGAGCCCATACCCCCTGTCATCTGGACTCTTATGGTTGCAACCTAGTATTCCAGGTACAAGGAAGGTAATGCATATGTTTGCAAGTACGTGCCTGAGTGTGATGTGAGCAAACAGAAAAGGAATGACAGGATTCTGCGTCTTAGTCACAGCTTCATCCTGTCCATCTGCTTTGTGCTAGGCATAGCTTTTCCACCATGTTCTCTCTTTCCCATGTGAAGTGAGGGGAACAATTGAATTGGTTTCTGTGTCTTAACCATGATCAGAATTGTCTCCAGAGTTCCCAGTTCAGCTGGCCCTAGCTTTCTCTCTTAAGAGTATTTATATGTGTGCTTTGAGTAGCACACAGGAGGCTCACAGGAGGTTTCCCTGTGTTCCTTGGACCTCTCAAGGGGTAGTCAGGGCACCTGTTCCTTCTCAACTGTAGTTTGTGCCCTCCAGTTGACCCATCACCAGATATTATTGCCATAGATCAGTTTTTGTTTTTGTTGTTTTAATCTTCATCTGTCTGTTGTCCCTATGAAATAAAGGGGCTAAAAGTCTGTGGTATATTATGTGTGTGCTGGTACTGGGGCTTGAACTCAGTTATTTCTGTGTTTCCCGCCACCCCCCCCCCCCCCCCCACACACACAACTGGTGTTCTATCTCTCAAGCCATACCTCCAGTTCAGTTTTCCTCAACAGGGATCCCCTTGAAACCATATTCCTGTACACTGTAGTTTTTTTTTAAGTTGTTTTTATCATTGATATTGATACTTGATTTTTCTTTGAGACAAGATCTTGTTATGTAGCTAAGGCTAGCCTAGAACTCACTATGTAGCTCAGGCTAGTTCTTAACTCCTAGTTTTCCTGCCTCAACCTCCTGGTTGTTGGGATTAGAGCACACCCAACTACTGTAGAGTTTAACTAGAAGGTTAGTTAACTTCTTCTGAGGCATTGTTAGCAGTATATGAACTTCCTCATATTTAGTTTCATGATTTTAACAGTGCTACAAATGCATTTATATGTTTTGATAAGATGTAATAAGATGAATTGTTGAAAACTATAGTAAAAAATGTAAACTTGATAAAACAATCCTTTTTCTGTATTATTACCATTACTATTGTTATTATCATTGTCATTAATTTCTGCAGTCTTGGATTATGGACTCTGGACCTTATGCTTGCTAGATAAGCATTCTGTCACTTGAGCCACATTTTAGGCCTTTTGGGGCTCCTATTTATACCCAGGCTGACATAAATTATGATCCTGAATACAGGGGGTGAGCTTAATCTTTGGATATAAAATGACTACCTGATTTTCTTTTGACTGCTTGTTTGCTTTGTTGTTGAACTGAATCAGGACCTTGTGCATGCTAGGCAATCACTTTACCACTGAGCTACATCTCTAACCCATGACTATCTGATAGATAGATAGATAGATAGATAGATATTCATTACATCAGAAAGAACAAAACTCAAACCAAGGAGAAAAATACATGAGAAGGAAAACTTTGATCTGAGATAGGAATGAGTCTTCCCAGCAAGGAAAGAGACTGGCCAGTGAGTCATTTTCAGCAGATGAGTTAGAGAGCAGCTCTGAGTAAGAGGCCAGGAGGACGCTGACAATATGTTCCTTGGTTTTGAACTTGAAGGAGTAAAAATGAACATTGATTTGCTAATTTCTTACCTTTTTGTCTCAAGTTGAGAACACTAACTTGTATCTTTTTTTTTCTTGGTATTAGGAAAAGATGGCATCTCTTTCCTCCTGAAGATACACCTTTCCTTTATCCAACCCGAATCCCGTATGAAGAATCTAGTGTGTTCAGTAAAGTCAATGTGGTCAATCCTGATTTACAACGTTTCCCTCAGTTCCAGAAAGCTCAGAGACATGTGGTCACGCTGTGCCCAGGACAGGTAATGACCTCTCTGTCAGAGGACACCATTGGTGCCATGTGTTTGCCCCCAGTGCAGACAAGAATGGTTTCCTCGGGGCTGGGAAGGTGGCTCAATGGTAGAGCACTTGCCTTGCATGCATGAGGCCCTGGGTTCGATTCCCCAGCACCGCATAAGCAAAAATAAAAAAAATTTTTAAAAAAAGTTTTTTTTAAAAAAAGAATGGTTTCCTCATGTTGTTCTGCTGTTCTGAGGTAGCTGTCTCATCTGTAACAGGTGACGGAAACATAGCGCCTCCTGTGGGTGAGGAGAGTAGACTTTGAAGGAAGACAGCCCACAAAACCATTTTCATTCAGGTTAAGAGAAAACTTCAAGGCACAGTTACCAGAACATTTTTTCACAGTTCATGTCTGTTCAGGTGTAACAGAATTAAACCCAGACACATAAATGTGCATTGGAATGCATTTGGATAGTCAGCCAACAGAGGCAGAATGAATTGAGAATAGTTTGGTTTTGAGAAAGAATGGGTGACTATTTCTAGCATTTCTAATTCTGTGACCCTGTGGGTAAAAATTCCCTTACAACATTAGCACTTGCTGAATGATAGTTTACTCTGAAAGATCTTGGGTTGTTTGTTTTGTTGTGTGTGTGTGGGAACGTGCGCGCAGGTGTGCGGGTGTGTGGTTATGACTTGAGACAGGGTCTTGCTATGTATTTCTGTCTGGCCCCCAAATTGTGGTCATGCTGTCTCCATCGCCACATGGGATTACAGGCATATATTCCCATACTCAGCTTCTTTATCTCTTGAAGAGACTTAATACCCTTAGTTCTCCCTCTCCATTGCCTGTGTACCTTCCATCACTCCCATGTGTAAAATATACTACATGTATTTATCCATTTCATTCATTTACCGGTTAATCACATTGGGTATTATGAACATTGGATATTATCAACATTACTGTTATGAACTTTCCTGTGTTAGCTGTTAGAGAAAGCCTTTGTTTTCAAGCCTCTTGGGTACATACTTAGGAGTAGAATTAATGCCTCATATAGTTAGTTTGGCTGTGTTTTTACATTTCTTCACATCTCCAACACTTGCTGCTTTTTATTACTGTAATTCTTATAGCTTTCTAATGGGTATAAACTAGTTTCTAGTTCATTTTTTATTTCATCTTTAATAGCCAAATTTAAATGATGGGTTTGTCTTGTATCAGGTTTTTTTAATCCTGTTTGTTCTTTAATCCACCATAAGATGGCTCTCTCTCACCACTTTATTATGCTAGGATATTCATGACTTCTTTATTAGTCAGCTTGCTGTCACGGTAATGACAGAAAAAAAAAATACCTGAGAAAATCAATTTAATGAAAAAGAAGCATGCCAGTGGCTTATTCCTGTAATCCTACCTACTCAAGAAGCTTATATCTAAGAACTATAGTTCAAAGACATCTTGGGCAGAAAAATCTGTGAGACTCTTATCTCCAATTAACCAGTAGGAAGTTGGAAGTAAAGGTATGGCTTAAGTGATAAAGATCCATTTTTGAGTAAAAGAGCCAAGTGAAATTACCAGGGCCTGAGTCCAAGCCCCAGTACTAGAGCACAAAAAAATCCATCCATCCATCCATCCATATATATGTAACTTATTTTGCCTCAGAAGTTTTGTTTCATGGATTTTCAGCTATGTTGCTTTGGGCCTTGGCAGCACAGTACATTGTGGTGGGAGTATGCCATGGAGTTGAGTGCTTACCTCTTGTCAGCAGGCAACAAAAGAGGATGGAAGGACTGGGCACCAGTGGCTCATGCCTGTAATCCTAGCTACTCAGGAGGCTGAGATCGGAGGAACATAGTTCAAAGCCAGCCCGGGCAAGAAAATCTGTGAGTCTCTTATCTCCAGTTAACCACCAGAAGACTGGAAGTGGCGCTGTGGCTCCAATAGTAGAGCGCTTGCCTTGAGCTGAAGAGCTGAGGGACAGTGCCCAGGCCCAGAGTTCAAGCCCCACAACCGACAGAAAGAAGAAACAAAAAGAGGACAGAAGGGACTGTGTCTCATTATTCTTTCCTGGGCAACCCTCAGTGACCTAACATCTACCTATTCACGGTTGTACCACCCCCTATACATTGCCAACCAAACCTTCAACTCCAGGAAAAACCACCTCTTACTCATTGTCCCTCATATGCTCCTATGAGCAATTATCTTACCATTTCTTACCCAAGTGCCACTAATTTTCTCATTCCAAAGCCTAAAAGCTGCCCATTACCTCCATGATCCTTGACTCTGCCCATTACTTTTCAGTCTAGTGACCCTGCCTATCTAGATCTTAAACACTCAGTAAATGGACCATGTGAGAATATTCTTTGCAGACTCTCCTAATGTCACAATTTTAACCATCCTTTTATTCAAAATGTAACGCCTATAGGTTAAAACCCACTAACTGTCTCTGAATTCAGGATCTTCACTGGACCTCATTTTTTCTCTTCTCTTACTGCCCGGTACCTCCTGGGCAGTAGGGGCACTGGCCTTGCTGGGTCTCAGCAGTGCCAGCTTTTCTCCTTCCTAACATAGTCTCATTCTTTTCTTTATCTAGTTCCTCCCCTTGTTCTGATTCAAGTCACTCTTTCTCTGGACCTCTTACTCTTGACTGCCCTAGTTGAGGCCTGCCTCTTCTACTTGGAGACTTCTCACATTTACCATTTCTATAATGGCACCCACCAGTCCCATTATTTTCTCACCAGCTGCTCTTGAACTGTAAAATGACGGAAGAGAAGTCCTCTATTTTCACATTTCTCAGATTTTTTTTCTCTCCTTTCTCAGAATTTGGACAATTGTTTTGCAGCAGAAAGGAGGAAAAATTAGACTCTCAAAAGCCTTCAGTAAAATGTAAATGTAGACAATGGCATTAAGAAGAGTAGAAAAGCTGGCATGTGAACTTGTCAATTAAAAAATAATGACAAGGAAAAACAGATTGTGGGGTTTTTGTTTGTTTCCTCTTTCCTTCAATTCCATGGGTTTTTTGGTGTTTCTTCTTTCCTAGCAGCCTCATCAGATCTGACTGACATAAAAATGAAACATCCCATAATTGTGCTATTTTTTGTTTGGTTTTTCAGGTTCTGTTTGTTCCCAGACACTGGTGGCATTACGTAGAATCCATCGATCCTGTCAGCGTCAGTATAAATTCATGGATTGAGCTGGTACTTTTTTGTTGTTCTTTTAAAAATAAAATCTCTGCGCTGAAGATATACAATTTGGTGATGAATTTGCTGGCCAATATACCAGGATGACCTTGTTTGGACTGCAGTGTTTTTGTCCCTGTCCCCAAACTCCCTGAGCTATTATTGTTCCTTGTTTCAGGGCCTCAGAGCCCCTCCACCTCCCCCCCCCCCCCCCCAAGATAGTATCTGGCTATGACTCTCCAAGATCATGAAGGAGGGGTTGATAAAATGGCTTCCTTCTCAAATACTAGCCTGCCAAAAGAGGCACAATAGAGTTCCTGCACTGGATTTAAGGCTTGAAAGAACTGTGGGTTTATCCATTCACTAGTGATTGCAGTCTGCTTGCCAGAGTCCCCTGGATTACCTGTGGTTGTGGCTTAGGTTTACACTGTCCACATGGGAGCTGAGGTTGGAGCTTTGGACTGTTTCCTAATTTTTTCTGTGTCATCTTTCTGTTACTCTGTGGTTTTTCAGATGTCCAGTTACTTCTTTTGTGATTTCCTAGGCTCTTCTCTTTTTCTCTTTGGGTCATAGTCTCTCCTGACTGGTACTCTCACCTTTTCATTCATGTAGTCAAACGGAATAAGCATCTGTTCTACCACCTGACCCTGTCCATTCTCTTTCTACATCAGTATCTATATATCTGTATTAATTACGTATATTACAGATGTCAGGTTGTGGTTTTCCCCCTTTTATGTTTTTGATTAATAGGAGTTGGTGCTTTTGCTGTCATTTATCATTAACGCTACAGTGTATACATGTAGTAGCTTGGGAGAGCTATGTTTGGATGGCTACCCACTTCTCCTTCATAACCCCCAGTCAAAGGGATCTAACACAGACATTCTGCATAGTAAACTCTGTATTGCTGATCTGCTTTCCCAGCCTGTTCACCTCATTCTTAGAGTGAAGCGTGTTTACAACTTTTCTCTGACCCTCAAATAATTTGCTTTTCTAATTCCATAAGAGGTATTCTTTTGTGTGATGATACTTTTTGAAAATGTTAAACATGTTAAAGAATGGGGGGGAAAGCACAAAGGTGGCTTATACTGAAGGCATATGACTTACTGACAAAATACACACTTAAATTTGCCTATTGGTCTATTCTACATCTGTTCCAGATGGCAGATGATACTGAATACAAATATCATAGTTCTGCCATTAGCATATTCATTCTGTCACAAAGCTTGAATTAATGAGAACAGAGAACACTGTTAAAAGAGTCTATATTCTCTTTTAGACCAAAAAGTGAGAGACAAGTGCTTAAGAGATTTGTTGTTGGAAGTGGTTCTGTGGCTCAAGCCATAGAGCACTCACCTTTAGCTGAAGAGCACAGGGACAGAGCCCAAGCCCAGAGTTCAAGCCCCATGACTGACCAAAAAAAAAAAGAGGTTTGTTGTTGTTGTTGTGTTTTTTTAGTCTAACTTAGGAAGAAGACCACCTAGCCCGAGTGGAAGAGGCAATCACCCGGATGCTGGTGTGTGCACTGAAAACTGCGGAGAACCCACACAATACCAGTGCCTGGCTAAACCCCACTGAGGTAGGCGGTTCTGGATTTCATTGTGGCTTTGGATTCCTATGGTGAATCAGCCTAGATAATACATTCATTTTTACTTTTCCTAAGTGTATGCTAGCATCCTGAAGGGTTTGTCTTTATCCTCAGGTGGAAGAAACATCCCATGAAGTCAATTGCCACTATTTAAATGGAGCTGTTTCTGCCTTTTTTGACCATTACAGAACATCTAAAGTAGGAGAAATTCAAGTAGTAGGAACACATGGGGAGAACCTTAGAAAGGATGAACTAAGCATGAACAGCCCCATGGAGGTAAAGGACACACACAGCCAGAGTGTAACCATGGGAACCACAACGCAGGGGGCAGCAAGCCCCTTTGGTCCTCATCTGGTGCCTGTCACACCGAACTCTGAAGAACTCTCTTCAGAAAGAAGAGACGTATTTGAAAGCAATGGCAGAGGATTTGTCTGCAAAGATGAGGAACTCTTTCCAAAACCGTCCTGCACCAGGAGGCAACTGATGATCAAACAACGTGACAATGCTGTGGAGGAGTCAATTGCCTCTAACAGCACCACGGCCCCTCCCTCAGTGTTCATCTCCACAGACGACTTGCTGGACTGTGTAGTGAACCCACAAGTAACCAGGATGGTTGCACAACTTTTGATACAAGGGAAAAAAATATGAAATAACATGAAAAAGTATTTTTTAAACATTGTTTTCTGTGGTTTTTATTCTTCTTTTTCTTAGCAGAATCTCACTATATGAGATTATGAATTCAGAAGCTGACTTTAACCTCATAATTCTCTCCTGTCTCTTAGGCTCCTGAGTGTTAGGATTACAAGTGTGTGACGCAATTTCAGTTTGTAGTCAGGTGCATTGCTCTTTTAGTAAGCTTGCTGTCCTAGGTTCCTTTGCCTTTCCTCCTCCATCTCATCCTTCCAGACTACCTTAATTGTAATTTCCCAGTATTCCCAGCAGGAAGCAGCCTCCATCAGCTTCATCCTGGGATCAATCTGCTGCTTGTTTTCATGAAGAAAGTTTATTGGAAGACCTACTCCATGCTTTGCATTTCATATTATCTATGACATCTTTAGAAGTGCAGTGGCAGAGTTACATCATCACAGAGACTGTATAGTATAGAAAATCAAATATATCCACAATCTATCCCTTTGCAGAAAATGTAAAGCATTCAAGTATACTGTTTCTAGGAGAGGACTTGAACAGAATCATGTCAGTCTGTCTCTAATTCAGGATAGTACATTATATAATTATTCTTTTTTCATTTTAATTGTTATTATAAAGGAGATATACAGAATACATAAGTCAGGTAAAGAGCACGTTTCTTTTTGGACAATGTCACCCCTTCCCTTACCCTCTCCCAGTTTTTCCCTCACATCCTCACTCACAAGTTATAGTTCATTTTCAATATAGGGTCTAGTGAGTACCACCGCTGCATTTGTTCACCCTTTGTCCCTCCATTTCTGTGCTTCCCCTTACCCTCCCAAAGACAGATAGCTGTGTAGTTATTCTAAGAACTAAGTTGGTCCAAGGCCAACCAAAGAACATGCTAGACTAACCACTGTGTATTTACCCATTTATTTGATCATTCATTGTCTGTCTTCCCCAATCAGAATGTAATAACTCCACAAGGGTATGGTTCTTGGTGACATATGTTCATTATTTGACTGAGAAAATATGATAGAAATCTTTGTCAGTACTTCATCAAAATGCTTTGGGGCAGAATATGTTGTGGCCAATGGTAAAAAGTGCTGTAACTTTTATTTGACATGTTCCTATTGTAGAAATTTATCTATCTTTTCAGATAACTCCTGTTTGCTATTTATGGCTTATTAGCCAAACTCAATTCAGTATGCAAGAATCCACATAGACTAGAATAGAAAAGGATAGAACTTCAAAATTATCTGTACATAATTTCAGTGAATTATAATAGTAAGCCTAAGTAGTATTTCCTGAAACTTTTCAGAAAAGTATTCTTTTTTGTGATAAGTATATTTATCATAAGGCTTTTTCAATTAGTCTTCATAGGTACTTGGCCTGATACAGAAAGTACTTAGGATAGACAGAGATAAGAAAAATGAAAGTTCCGCTGAGACAAAGCCTCTCATTCCACTTAGTTTTTGATCTGCAGAGACCTCACGAGAAAGTTAAGGCCTTGGTATAAAAGGACCAGTGACTCACACCTGTAATCCTAGCTACTCAGAAGGCTGACATCTGGGAATTGTAGTTCAAAGCAAGCCCGGGCAGGAAAGTCGGTGAGACTCTTATCGCCAATTAAGCAAAGGAAGTGGCGCTGTGGCTTAAGTGGTAGAGCGCTTGCCTTTAGCTGAAGAGGTCAGGGACAGTGCCTAGGCCCAGAGTTCAAGCCCCACGATTGAAGGGGGGAAAAAAGAAAAAGAGGCAGTGGAAACCAAATCCAGAGGAAATAAATAGGCAAGGAAATATGGGGGTGTCTCACATATCATCTGAGATATTTTGAGGCAGTGGCATCATTGGAGGCCATGTTCTTCAGTGAAAGGCTGGATGTGACAGGCAGCAAAGACTCCGTAGCTGGTTCTAAGGATTCCTGTTTAGCTGACCTCAGACAAAGAACCTTCTTGCACTCTGAGCATGTCTCCTCAGCCTTTGGATATAGTATTTACATTTTAGGACTAATCATGGGAATAAAATAATGCATAAAAAGCACTTATTCTATCACCTGCGTAAACGAGGTATTTAATGAGTGATGTTCAAATCTGCAATTTCCCTGAGGAATTAGGAAAAACAATTTTGCCATTGCATAGGTATTAAATTAGCAAAATAGCAATATGACTGCTTAATTCCTTTGGTTATACACAAGGCTTTAAAATCATCCAAAGCTAGGCTGCCAAGGGAAATAAGGCATTTAATAAACCTTAGAGTTGGGGCTGGGAAGGTGGCTCAGTGGTAGAGCGCTTGCCTTGCATGCCTGAGGCCCGGGGTTCGATTCCTCAGCACCACATAAGCAAAAAGAAAAAAAAGCCGGAAGTGGCGTTGTGGCTCAAGTGTTAGAGCGCTAGCCTTGAGCTGAAGAGCTGAGGGACAGTGCCCAGACCCAGAGTACAGGCCCCACGACCAGACCCAAAAAACATAAAAAATAAAACCTTAGAGTTGATTAATCTTAGCAAAGAAGGATTTCACTTTCACTGAAGGTGTAGCTGGCATCACATACTGGGCAGTGTGAAGACAGGTAAGTTGTGGACACACAATTGTAACTATACATCTGTCGATGTATTTTCTCTCAATATTGATTCATTCCTTTATGAAGAGAAGCTCAGAAAACTGATTTCAGTGACAAAGAGTGATGTTAATTTAGTCTTAGAAAAAGTTAATGGAGAAAAATACTGTATCTTGACTTTGGGGTTCTTTTGGAAAAGGACTCCAAAATATTACTGTCTAAAAGTAATAAGATACTCTGGGTATGCTTGGTAGTCATAAAATACCACAAATAAGCTTGGTCTGTGAACATTATCTACGACAGTGTCGTACAGGTCAGTAGGATTTTGAGGGTTCTTTGCAGGAGGCACAATGTATGATTGATTTCCGAGTGTATATTCTCCAACAAGTACTCGAACGTAGTAGATGTGTTTTTTCCCATTTGCATCTGGCCTGGAGTATGTGTCATTGGCAGAATAACTGGCATTAACAGCAAAATAGGTTCCCTTTCCATAGCATACAGCTGTGAAGAGAAAAAGTACTTTAAAATAATTTCATTATAGGCTGGGAATGTGGCTCACTGGTAGAGTGCTTGCTTCATATGCATGAAGCCCTGGGTTCAATTCCCAGTACCACATACACAGAAAAAGCTGGAAGTGGTGCTGTGGCTTAAGTGGTAGAATGCAAGCCTTGAGCAAAAAGAAGCTCAGGAGCTGTGCCCAGGCCCAGAGTTCAAGCCCCAGGACCGGCAAAAAAGAAAATAATTCCAGTATAGCGTACAATTTGACATGTTGTCCCAGTACATCAAACAATGTAAAAGAATATTTAAGCATTTTGTGGGGACAATTTGACATGTTGTCCCAGTACATCAAACAATGTAAAAGAATATTTAAGCATTTTGTGGGGGGAGGGTTCATTTTTAGAAATCAAATATTCCACATCTCAGGACCAGATAGGCCAAAGGAAATAGAGTGAGACCTATCATGAAAGTTGCATTGATAACTGGCCAAGTATGGGGAAAACAGTGGAAATTCGCGTTCCTAGCCAGCTTGAGTTACCATAGCTGAAACCTCAGTGGGGAGCAGTCAGAGTCCTGGATTCCTTACCGTTCTTCCCTGCATAGCTGCGGTTAAAGCCATTTTCATTGACATGTGGCACAGAGTTAATATCTGTCCCATGGAAGAGCAGCCTCTCATTCCTTTGGTGGCCATTCTTGGCATCAATGGTTTTTTTCTTTGCCTGATAGCTATTCCAGAGACCTAAGTTTTGGATCCTTTCGATCTACAAATGAATAAAAAAAAAAAATTGCTAGAGTTGATGACACTTGCCAAAGTATAGGAAACAAAACATGGTCACTGGTTTTCATAAAAAATTACACTCAACAAATTCAATGCCAGCTGATATAGTTTCCTCTTTCAGAAATCTTAGATTCAGTGTTTCATACAAATGGACATTGGATTGAATCTTGGCTTAATCTTTAATATTTTTATATACCACACAAGAAAAAGTCCAGTATCTTAAGTAGTTATATGAACTTTGCTGACTCTTCCTCTCCTATCTTACTTCTTTTTTGCTGGCCCTTGGGTGTGAACTCAGGGCTTGGATACTGTCCCTTAGCTTCTTTTGCTTAAGGGTAGTACTCTTAACATTTGAGGCACAGTTCCACTTCCAGCTTTTTTGGTAGTTTATTGGAGATGAGAATATCACAGACTTTCCTTCTGGGCTGGCTTCCAACAATGATCCTCAAATCTCAGCCTCCTGAGTAGCTAGGATTACAGGCATGAATCATTGGCTTCTGGCAAATCTCAACTTTTTATGTGCACTCCAGTAACTGCTGCTGGTGCTGTCTACCTTTCTGTTACTTTGCCTCTTGCCAGTTTAAAAAACTTGTCCTAGAACGTATAAGAAGTGGATAAATATGGCTACAGTCCCTCATAGAAAAGCAGACATGAAAGGTTTCAAGCTTTCAGAATCTTTCTATTCTACAGAACTGTCAGGCCTAACAGTATTAATCTGCCTTCATCTGGTTCTTTCTCCCATTGCTGCAGTTTTTAGGGGTTTATTTTTGATTTGATACTGTTTCCTCTAGTAAAAAGTCTCGACATTATCACACATTTTGTTGAGCTTCTTTGTGACTTAAACATTATTTCCTCTTCACAGCTAAATTTCCAGTTATTCTGACTACATCTATTCTGTTTCCTGTTAACTCAAATTTTCTGTATTTAACTTGATTTTTTTATACCTTTAAATTTTTCCTTAGATTGTAAAACATTTCTTAGTTCCTTGGCCTTTCAGTTCTAAAATTTAAACCATTATTTCTTACATTTTTAGAAACTTTACTAAGCACATAGTTTTTTTCAACTACTAGATGATCTGGGGAAGGAAAAGGTCTATTTGAAGGACATAGGGATTTGATGAGCCAAGCTCTCAGAGACAAGGAAAGTACAAAATGAAACACAAAAGTCAAAAGAGAATGATCTCTTCTAACTGCCTAAAGAAAATAACTATCAAAGAGAAT